GCTTTATACAACTTTTTTACATATGCAGTAGTACTCTCCAACACCTGTAAACAGACTTTGATGTGTAAATTTAATAGAGTTACCCTTTAACCAACGGCCTAAACACAAGTATAAAAAATGTTTAATCATGCTTTAGTTGCTACAAGCAGATACTGTATTGCAAGAATGGAATATTGTGGAGAAAACAAACAAATGTCTTGCACATACATTCAATATCAAGTATTAGGTGATAGAAAAAGTAGTTAGGGCAGAATCACACTTAGAGTAAAACTTTAATGCTTTTGCAAATAGTAGTACTATATAAATTCAGACAGAAAACTATGCACCAAATGTTTGCAAAAAAAAAAAAAAAAAGGCACTACAGAAATATTACTGACTAGGCGGAAATTACTGAGCAGGCACAAATTAGGGCATCTATAGGGAAGGTGGGAAATGAGAGATGCAAGCAGACGTGAGCCGAGACCTTAGAGTATCATCACAGACAGCATGGGCCGTAGACCTGAAACATTATGTGGTCCAATGCTCAGCAGTCTGTTTGCTTTACAGAACTCGCTGTGCCACAGGACGACGCAGCCAACGAGGCATGAGGAAGGAGCTGAGAGAGAGGATGAGGAGGAGGAGGCTCAGCTACTCTGAGCTGGCAGCCGAGGCTGAACAGCAAAGCCGGAAAAAGCCAGGATACACAATGCAAAGGTTTGGTGCCATGAATTAACACTACATCCACTGTAATTATTATCTCATCTAACTATTGTTACAGCTGATCCCACACTACCACTGGCTGCAAAGTTGTATGCTTAGTGAGATCCACTCAGGGAGTCCACTTGTAGTCACTGAGTACTTTGTAAGTCAGCTTCAGAACAGATTTTCACAGTCGGCCTGTCTGGCCTAGATCACACCAACTCACAACCCTACTCCCATCCACCAGTGTCAAAAGCAAGTCAGGAATCAGTCGTATCAAAATGACTTTTTAAACAGGGTCCTTTGAAGCAGTGCTTCTGTTAGGCTGCAGACCAGTCTCTTGTGTGGCTCCGCAGCATGATAGCAGCGACAGCAGCAGCGTGGAGTGAAAATAAGAGAGAAGAGTGAAAGATACAGAGAGAGGGGGGATGACTTATCTGCTTTCCATTATGTTGTTTTTATCCTATGCAGCTAAATGTGAAATCGTTTGAAATCTCCCCTGTTTGTATAGGAAACTGATAAGGGCCAGTTGTCACATTTCAATTTAGGGAAAGAAAAAAAATGATGACTGGAAGAGACAGAGGAAGGACAGTAGAAGGAGGAAACATGGAAAGTGGAAAACAGAGGGAGACAGAGATACAGTAATCAAAGTTAGACATGGTAGACAAGCCTGGAGATTAAAAGAGCGATGAACTGACAGCGGGACTTGACTGAGCGAGAGGAAAAAGGCCATCGTCACAAAGATAAACTGATTAAATAAGAGCAAGCCAGTCAGTGAGAGACAGAGAGTTTAGATTGCGATAAAAAGAGGGAAAAAGAGAGGAAATCAGCAACAAGATCACAAGAGAGGAAGAGGAATAAGACTGGGCGTTTGAATTGAAAAGAAATGGGTAATGAGATGCTAATGTAACAACAAAGGAGAGAGTGCCCTCCGGGGGGAGCTATGCTACAGCAAGCTGCTTCAGTGTGAACACATTAGAGGGATGAATTGAATTTAAAATGCCCTTTATTAAACTACTGCAATGTACACAGATTCATTCAGGCGCATATATAGTGATTAAAGTCAAACTGGATTTACGTCGCCCCGCCTTTGGCCCTGTTTGAACAAAATAAAAACAATAAATGCGCCCCTGGAGAGAGAGGCGATATAGGTGACAGAATGGGAAAGAAACTGCAAAGAGCAGAGACGGTATCAGCTGCACATAACACCTCCTCCACAGGAGTGTAGATGTTCATGTCACCCACCAATGTGTGATATGAGGTGAGCATGAGGACAAGGTCTGTATGCCCTGAGAGGAAAGGGTGGACAGAAACGTGAGGAGAAAAGATGAAATGATGGAGGCCCATGAGGGAAAATTAATCTGGAGAGGAAGACTGAGGAGAACGGAGGTCTTTGCGATAATAGACGGGCTTTTCGAGTGGGAGGAGGAGATGAAGCTTACAAGTAAAGGGGAATAATGGAGAGATCCATGGTGCAAAAGCTGTAATTACTCAAGGGAATAAGTGCAGGAGAAGAGTGATGTGGAGGATCTGTATAAAAAGAGTGACTGGGCAGTACTCAAGAGACTGTCAAAGAGAATACTAGAGGAGGGGAGGAGCGCCACTGACAGATATAAGCCCAGAGATATTATAGACGCACTATGAAAAAATTAGAAAGCTGGAAAATCATTATAACAAGTCCTCAAGAGGATGACGAGAATGAGCCAATACCAAAGCACAATGAAAGAAAAATAAAAGCAAGCTTAAGACGGCGTGCAACCCTGCAGGGACTGTGGGATATTTGTGCTATAAAGAGATGCAGCGGTAACAGAGGTGTGTGTTGAAGAGTACTATTATGTGGAAAGAGTGTAGGATTCATGTGTTGGATGAGGCACAAAGAGCACATGGAAAAAAAAAAGCTCCAGCGTGATCTCAAGAGGATGTTGTGAATGAGTGAATGAGTACAAAGAAAAGAGACGAGGAATGGGGTTGAAGAAAATCCTTCAGGAGATCCAGTTGAGGTGTTACTGCAGGTGCACTTAAAAATTATGCAGGTTGCTAAAGACAGTTTACACAAGAAACTAAAAAAAACCAAACATAAACCTTGAATGAGACCAAGTTTTCACAACTAAGTTTACTTAAAGGTTCTCTATGTAACTTTTTGACCAGTATTAGTTGCTCTTGCTCCGACTTGCCATTGGCAGCCTGTGGACTAACCTCTATTTAAAGGACAGGGCAAAATTTTTCATGGAAAATCCAAAGGATGTGATGTTGTGTGCATTCCACGGGCCTTGCCTCTCTTCAGCTCCATGCCACTAGTGTGCAACATTTGCTAACATGAGTTTAAAAAAAAAAGTAAAAAAAAAAGTGTCCGCTTACATCAACAAACAACTGGCAGCAACCACAACAGAGAGTCGACACATGCTTTTTCCGTTACACACACTTTGCAGTGGTGACCTGGCGGAGATGAACCTTAACTTTGTTCCCTCTAGCAACTCAAATTCAGCTTGAGTAAGATTAAGTGCCCGGGTGCCAAGGGTCTGATTCTGGACCATCCTCTCGACTGCCCAAGTCACTGCTGGCATTTGCCATTTGCAGATTGGTTTCTACGTAAGTTAACCTTACGTAGAAACCAATGCCAGATCAGTGCAGCGTGCATGTTATTGCTGGCAAAATGCTATCTGAGTGGATTTATTAGATGGCGAGCTTGCCAACTTACTTCCCCTGCTAAAATGATCAATGATACTACCTATATCATGACAATCTGCATTGACTTAGCCAACAATAAAAGATGTAACAGTAAAGCACTTTCTACGAGCCAAGAGTAATGCAGAGCGGCCAATGAGCTAACCGTAACCTGAGCTAATGTTAGCCAACTAGATGTCGTTTAGCTACTGTATATGGTTACTTGTAACATCAGCTAATAATGTAACTTGCAAATTTTGGTATCGTGGAGCCAATGGTCCAAATGAAATACAACTGTCAGATAGTAACGTTATTCTAAATATGACTGAGATTTCTTTTTTCAGCCTTCTACTAACATGATGATGGTTAGCCACAGTCAGTCTTGTGTTTGTTACTATTTTAGCCAAAGCTCAGGTGCTTGGTCACAGCTAATGAGTAAGAGTGGCAGATCACGAGCTGGCTGCAGTTTACTTAATGGGTCAGTTAATCAGAGAGAGGGGTCACTATTAACAAGGATTTTCTGAAAGTTACACACAGGACCTTTAAGTTTGTTTTGACTGGTGGGATGGAAATAACGTCCATATCCATCCTCTCTTGTTTGCCTGTAGGCTATACTGCCAAAACATGAACTTCTCACTCATTTAGTCAACTTTCTGTGGCACCATTTGACTTTTACCAACCTCCAACTTTAATGTTTTAACCCATAAAAGAATGCAACATCACATTTTCAGGGTAAAATTAAAGACTTTACTTTAATGCTTAAAAACAGCTAATTCAGCTATCGTCACTGTAGCTCAGAGGACCTGCAGGCCTGGAGCGTGTTAGCTGTGGCACGGGCTAATTGGGTTTCCGTTCTTAATTAGGCCAATTAATTAGGAAATGCAGCTGAGGCTATGAGCGCTCCATCAGGTCATTTAGGGATTACAGGGAGAGAAGAACAGTCGTGGGAAGAGTAGAGGAACGGAGGAACGGAATCGAGCAAAAAGGTCACTCGAGAGGGCTTTTGTTGCAAGAACAGAACCCCTTCACCATCCCGCTGAATGTTATCTCTAAATGATTCATGGACTGAGGGTAATTACCCATTTGTGACAATTTAATCAAATCAATCATTACTTTTGGGAATCGGTGAATTGAAAACAGAGCCTGCTAATTCATGCAATTTCCCAACTGGTGCTCATTGTTGTTAATCTGCCATGAGAAACATGTGAAATGATGGAAGAAAGAGATGTGGGAAGAAATGGAAGAGAGGAGGAAGAGGATCATTCACAGGCAGAGGACTGTAAAATGGGCTTTCATGTGTCCATCAGCTCGCTCTGTGTGACTCCAAGTTCCCAGAGGTTTCTAAATCCTCCGACGCCTGCAGAGTATACAGCTAACTCTTCATTTCTACCTACTGTCATGTACAACCAGCAGCATTTACACAGCATAATCCTGCCCACTGTACAATATAAGCACATGAAAGCCTAAGATTTCGGCTAAGTCATGTCAAATACAACAAATACTGCCTTTAGTACCGAAAGCAAGGAACAAACTACTTTCAACATGACTTTCAATGTTTGGGTCAGATCAGGCTCAAAGCTGCTCAAAGTCTGATGACCACAAGCGACTACGGTGCTGTACACTAGTCTCTCTTGAACAAAATGTGTCCAAACACTCACCTCCACAAAGAGGAAGCAGGGCACGATGTAGGTGCTGGTCTTCTGCTGGCCGATGTCTCCAGGAAGGTTCCTCACTGTCCTCCTCTGTGCTGACAACTGACTGTTCATCATCTGTGGAGTCAAAGGTCATTGCAAAGCTTTAGTTTACTTTGTTCTGTTTGTGTTAAAAGGATATGCTGGCTGCGGAGAGGCTGTGCAGTAAGAACACAAACTACTTCATGTTTGGCAAAAGCTAAAATTGCAAATGTTGAACTTGACAACATAAAATCTATTATTATCCCTGGAACACACAAATATGCATATCCAAAAAGATGTGAATCAAAGTTCATGCGGTTGTGGACCATTTTTGATCATGTTTTGCAAGTGTTCGTAATACTAAAAAATACATGTTGTATTTGCTGACACTGTGAGAGCAGCTTGAGGGCCTCTGAGACATTAAGTAAGGAATACAGGACAGGCCTATAATTCAGGCTATTTGGATAATACAGCATACCACAACTTCAAACTCATTCCTAGTCAACCTGTACTGTTAAGTTTGGCTGTGGTTAATAATTGGCTGGGCTTACTGGTGAGGAGAGTGACCTGACTGGCACCTCTATGTAGTCATAACTTTGTGATAACAGTGAGTCACTGAACAGTCACCTGAGTTCCAGACAATACAAGAGTGTAAATAGTAGTCTATATTCAGTGCCTGGCTTAGAGTAAACCATAGGGTGAGGGTTTCATAGTCTGTTGAGTTGCAACAAAGAGGAAAATAATATTTTTTTGAACAATATCTTTTCCACCTGAAAGTATACATTTTGATCTTTTTGAGCATTTGTCTCAAAATATGCTACGAGCGAAAAAAAAGCCAAAACAAAACAAAAAAAACCCCTCCAAAGCAACAAAGACGTATCTTGGCAGAAACAGTTTTAGGTTCTGCTCCTACCCTATCTGTGATGCAGGGCAGCAGTTGGCTGCATGCGATTCCATCCAATGCCAACATTCAAGGCCCATCTCAGACCTACAATTAACTTCACAAATAAGCAGTGGTGAAATGTAAGGTACGTGTAGTATTTCCATGCTATGCTACTTAATGCTTTTACTCTACGTACTACTATATTTCAGGGAGAAATTTTCTTTTTAACTCTTTTACATTTATGGTACTACTATGCTACTTTGCAGATTCAGATTATTAAAGGAACAGTGTGAAGGATTTAATTGCAGATTGCAACCACCCATGTGCCAAGTGTGATCTCTCAGTTAAAATTCCTTAGTTGTTCATTGTTTTGAGGTCTTTATCAGGGAAAAACACAACACACGCAATGATTAAAACCGGTAAAAAACACTGGATAAAATGGTTTCACATTAAAAATCAGTGTTTCTCAGGGGCGTTGGTGGCTTAGGGGTTAGAGCAGGCGCCCCATATACAGTGGCTCTGTCGTCGCTGCAGCGGCCCGGGTTCAATTCTGGCTTGCTGCGTGTCACTACCCCTCTCTCTCCCTTCACACACTTAACTGTCCGTTAAAACAAAAGTCAAAAAAGTCCAAAAAAATAATCTTTAAAAAAAAAATAAAAATCAGTGTTTCTCCAACGCTGTTTGGCTTGTTGTAGATGGGCTGCCAGCCTTGCTAATGTGTGCTCACCTTTTTTTCTCTGACAACTTAAGATCCAGACAGTCACAGGGTTTTTACCAAGAGCCAAATCATCTGCCGAGGTCTTCTCTTCTCCAAAACAAAACGGACCCAGTGATTTAAACAAGGAAAAAACACTGAATAAAGCAGTTTCACGTTAATAAATCTGTGTTTTTCCAACACTGCTTGTTGTGGAGGGGCTTAAAATGCGAAAGCACAAATGGCCCTGTCTAGAGCCAGTGTTTGGTTTATCCATTCTGGGGTACTGTAGAAACATAGTGGTGCAACACGACAGACTCTGTGGATGAGGACCCGCTCCCTGTGTAGATATAATTGGCTCATTCTAAGGTAAGGAAAGCATGGCAATTCTTATTTTAAGGTGATCATACACAAAAGAAAACATTGTTTAGACATTCTATTCAATTTCTACACACTGGACCTTTAATGCAAAATATAATCAACTAATACATTATGATGGATGTGGCACCACACATGTGGGATCGTCATAGTAAAGAGAAGCGCCATGTGTCCAACTACTTAAGCTCTTGAATCATAATGAGAAATATTTACACCTGGAGCTCATTATATGTCATCCATCCGTTAGTAAACCACAAACCTTCAGCACTGCTAATAGTGTGCATACTCCACATTGTCAAATTTACAGGTAATCATGCCTGAGCACAAGAAAGGAATCGTTTTATCACCTGCCATCATTGTACAAACATTCATTTTTATATGCACACCTACATACACACATTCACGACAGACACAAAAATCACTCACTCATGTGTGAAATGCCCACAAAGATAAATTGTGCACAAGGCATCAAATATGCACACATACAGGTGCGTGCGCGCGCACACACACACTCACACACACACACACACACACACACGTACATACACCCACCTATGTAGGTAGGCAATCAAAAGAATTGGGTGGGGGGAAATGAGGTTGAAAGGAGGAGAAGTAGAGTGGAAACAGAGGAGCGATGATCAAAAACAAAAGCCTGACAGAAAGAGATAAGAGAGAGACAAAGTCATGATGCAGACGTTTGGAGACTCTTCAGAAGTGAAGAGGGTGGGGGCGAAAGCCAGCAGACTCAGCAATGGGAAATAACAGCAAGCGGGGGATAACTGGTAGAAGTTGAGGAAAAACAGCTTCAGTCCCCAAAGTGAGAATAGGAAAAGACAGGGGAAGAGATGTTGGGGAAAGTTAGTGCAGGAAGGCCATCTTATGAGATGCTCAAGGGTTCTTGATATGCAAATGACTGCACTCAAAGTGAATAATGTCAGCCTCTGCTTTGTTTTAAGTTGAGGGCCGCCTCAAAGGGCATCCAAGCATATCCTCCTTGAATCAAACAGCAAATGCAGTTTTTCTAAGAACTCTGAAACTGATTTTATCAATCATAAAGCAACTGCTCTCAGCATTCTTCAATAACATTTTATTCATTCAAACACCAATTGGTTCTCCTCTCAGATATCGAGCCCACTCCCTCATCTCCTTGACAACAATTATCTCGCTGCCTTTATTGCCGAGGGCAAATCTCTGCTGCCTTGTCAGCCCTTTCCTCCAATCAATGGTCGTTTTTGGTGAGAGGGGAGGAGGCCACTGCACAAGGTTGGAATGCATCCATGTCTTCATCAGTGATGTAGTAAAACAGTGAATCTAATCCTTTAAAGCACTTTTTAAAGAACTAAAACACAACTGATTGCTGTTTACACAAAAACAGATCATACACCATCTTCACCATCATTCCTGATGACGAGACTGATTGCATATGTGCACGTAAGGAGAACAGGAAAAGATATTAAATATTGCTGCGACTGGTTTTAAGGAGCATTAGAGTATATGCATTAATAACTAAAGAATTAAAGATGTAATACTCCCAGCAACCTAAATTCACTTAGACCCACTCTCATCTTGAACAGTTTAGTCTAACAGGACATTTTAACAAACAAGTAATTGATGATTAATGGGCTTCTAAAAAAACAATGAAAATCCTGACATTCAAAGAATTATATATTATAAAAAATACAAATTTTAAAGCACAAGCAACGCGCCTGTCTGTATTACACAGCCACTGAATAGTGGTTCCTTCAATTTAAACATGCAGGATTTTAGGGGAATTAGATCATCATCATTTCTGCAAAATCACCCCAGGTGCTGTCACAGTGTCCACAAACTTGAACTTCAATTATCTGGCAGTAAAGTCCCTCTTGGCAGTTTCTGTTCCACGTCATAGATTTATCATCACCGCCCTCTATTTATAGCTTCACATGAGACTTGTTTATGAATTTATGACAGCAAATGGTCGAAATGTCTGAAAGTGTCCTTCAAAAATCTTGCAACAATGTGCATTTGGAAGAGTCAAAAAAAAAAAAAAAAACAGTATTCCTGTCGATGCATCATGCGACATTTAGCTGAGTGACATGTACACACAAACAGACAGAGAGAGAGCAGTACAGACTACACACACTGTGTTTGAGTGAGTTAATTATTCATGCTGTGGTTCATATACTTATTTTCTCCACTATTGGCTGTCTGCCTCATGGGAAACACTATCCCACTATTATCCCACTATTCCAATATAAGTAGTACTATAGTCGAGCCTCAGCTACAGCACAAAGTGCTTTGATTGGTGAGATGGCACTCATTGATACTGAGAAAAGAAAGAACATGTTGTACAAGTTGTGGTGGAAGATAGAGGGATTGCAAATACACACACACACACACACACACACACACACACACACACACACACACAGCAGGTTGTCTGCTGTAAATACAGTATTTGGGTCTCCCTTTAAGGACCCGTCTTCCAAAGCAGAGAGAAGCAATCAGGCATAAGGTTGGCATGGCTGATTGTCTCGTGTTGCTGCCCATATTGTTCACTATGATGTGCATCCTTAAGCCTCGCACTGGCACCACGGCAACAAAAGACCCACTCACGATCTCGCTGAGACACACACACACACACACACACACACACACACACACACACACACACACAGGTGCTTACACACACTAACCAGGAGCTGATATTTACACACCTGTATGCACCGGCTCATTCACACACGCACAAGTGACCATCATCACAGTATTCATTACATGTCAACTTGGATGTCAGTCCAACAAGTGGTGCTGCACAGCTGATGCCTGTGTGAATGTGTGTGTGTGTGTGTGTGTGTGTGTGTGTGTGTGAGACTGAGAGAGAAAGAGAGAGAGAGAGACGGAGAGAGAGAGAGAGAACATCCTGCACTGAATCCCTCCCGTGCTGCACCTCAGGTTCACAATAGGGGTCGTAGAGATGCACAATTACATTCTCACTCACACACACATACACACACACACACATAAATGCATACTCACAACCCATTTTCAAAAAAAAGAACTAGAGGAGCTGGGCAGAAGTGAGCTTGAAAAACTCTCACCTTAAATCTCTGTGTGTTGGTAACAGTGCTGCTGCTGCACAGTGACCGCTGCCTCCTCCGAGCCTCCGTCTCTAGGAGGATTTGCTCCTGCAGCGGACTCCCATTCTGTGGCCGCGTTGTGGTCTCGGCTCAGCTTCTTTCTCTTTTCCCCCCTTTTCGTCTCTTTCAAAGCAAAACCACCCCTCACTTCCGCTGCTCTGCCGCCGAGAAGCCCTCGGCACTGAGTGAGAATAAAGAGAGAGATAGAGAGCTTGCCCACTGCCAGGCAGCCAGCCTCCAGCCAGCTGAGTCTATATCTGTCTGCACTCTGTGCCGCTAGGTCGCTAAGCTAAATATGATGATCTTCAACAGCACTTCAAGGCTAATTAGTCAAGTGAAGGGATCCACAGGCTTGGTGAGGGAGGCTTCTCAGCGCAGTTGCCGGTGGATATGAGGAGAGTAGAGAAGGAGGGTGAGAAGGAGGGAGAGAGTATGTGTGCATCTGTATGCTTGTGTGTGAGAGAAAGAGAAAGAGAAGCAAATAGGAGGAGGAGAAAACAGAGAGTGGGAAGAGGGAATAAGAGAATAAGACAGCTGGAGAGGAGACAGCGCAGAAAAGAGCCAGCATGTATATGAGAGACAGAGAGATGGAGAGAGAGAGAGAGGAGGAGAGAGGGAGGGAGGGAGTCAGGGAGAGAGAGAAGGAGGGATTCTATGTGTGTCAGATTCTGAGGCAACACAGTGGCTAAAATGGGAGACACTGTGCACTTTAGTACCCCAGGAAACCACTTTGATACTGGCAGACACCATGAGCTCTGTGAGAGTGTGTAAGTGCACAGGTGTGTGTTCCTGTTGTTATTTCTGTGTGTGAGTGTGTGTAATTATAGGACCATGGAAAGTCAAAGCAGGAGAGAAAAAAGCCATGTGTCGTCTGAAAGTATAGCAGTCAGTGCTGTGAGTTTGTGTGTGATGAATGACAATTATAACACCATGAGCCCTTTGGACAGGAGACAGCAGGTTAATGATGCATCGTCAAGTGGAAAAGTGGGACGCATCCTGCGCATGGCCCTATGTGGGTCAGAGGCCCTCAGGTGTATGCTCACCTGCAGCTTTTGGCTGTTTTTGTGTATGCGTATGTGTGTGTATGCATGTATTTTTTCATAATGGCATGAGTTTGCCTTTAAGAAATTCTCTGCCTCCCTCAGGGCTGTAACAAAGGCAGTGTGTGTTTCTGCACATGTGTATGCATACATGTATGTAGGTGTTAAGACCCGTGGGCTGCTGAGCACTGGGAAATTTTCCCCAGGCATTGCCATACAGGTTTAGTTAGTGTGTGGACTTAAATATAATAAGGTGCCTTCTATCTACTTGTTCTTATGTCCATTTTATCATGTTTGCTTCGTTTTTTTTCCTCACTATTTGGGCTTTGACTGGTGTTCTTTTACTCAAGGTATCTCGTTACATCCTTTTCTAACTCCCAATATTCTCTGACAGCAGGGATGGAAAGGTGCATAAATCCTCATTTTCTGAAAATTTGGTTTGGACTACATGTAGATGGAAACCTAGCTACAGTCAAGGCTAGAATACTGAGTTTTTCGCCATCAATATTGCCTTGTGTGTGAAATTTGTTAAAGAAATAGCTTGCCATTTTGGGAAACGAGCTTATAGGGTTGGGTGGTATTGAAATTACCCTGCTGTTGATATTGCTGTGATAAAAACAATAACATACAAAATTATCATCCAAAGAAAGGTAAAGATACAGATACAAGTATCTACGGAGTGGAGAAGCATAAGTATGTTGCAATACCCATTGGTGGCCAAAAAGTAGCCACAATGTTTAGCCAATGAGCCCTTTTTTTCACACACAAGAGGGTGCTAAGTTTAAAAAAAAAAGAAAAAAAAAGGTGATGTTATTTTTATTCAATAGCACATTTAAACTGCCTCATACAGTCTTGCCACTGCTGACTGTCACATTTATATTTCATTGTCTTTGTAAAAGCCGCAATGATTGACCGTCAATTGCTCATCACGGTTTTGGTCCGACTGCTCTTTGTAGATGGATTCAGTGACAGACTTGCGTATTCTGTTGGATGGCGAGTTTTAAGATGGGAGTGGATACTTGAGGTGTTTCTATCTTTAGTCCTAACTTGTTTTTTGCACAGCTTAAAAATCACTTTGTTCACATTCTCTGATCTACTTTTTCATTTGGTTTGAAACCAAAGAATTGCCAATTAGGTGCATTTGCATTCTAGAGTTAGGGCTAACATTTAAATAGCTATTTTTTTACAGGGTCAGACGTATACTAGTACGTTTTCCCTTTTTTTTTGATATGCTAAAACAATGAGGTGAAGCATATAGAAAGCATGAGAAAAGGAGAAAGCTGCTAAATATAGCGCAAAATTCAAAACAGGTCTTGCATAATTGAATATCTTTCTGTTACTGTGGACACGTGAGGATCATTATTGAGGCCAACCATGATCATGCTGAACAATAATCTCATCATATCGCCCAAACCTTACGCTTATTCACATTCTTTTCAAGAGTTGAATCAGAAGATTGATACCACTCTCATGTCATGTCAGTAAATATGAAACTACTGCCAGTGTCCAGTTAGCTTAGCTGAAAACAAAATCTGACAACCAGCACCAGTGCTCACGAAGTAGCATGTTATCTTGTTTGTTAAAGTTGCATTTCATTTCTCGACCAGACTCAGTTTTAGCAGGACAACAAGAATAGTCCAGCACATAACTGCTATGCAGCTATGTCGCACTATGTGCCCAAAACAAATTTCCCGCTTGGGACAATAAAGTTTATCTTATCTTATCATACAATCTCCAATAGACCCGTGTTTTTCTGTTCTTTTTTTTTTTTTTTTTTACAAAAGTTTTTGTATGAATTTAACAAACTTTAGTTAACTAGTAAGTTAGTAAGTTTGCTTGTGGTTCTGGTAGTCGATTTTGTTACCTTTGGACAGAGACAGGCTAGCTGTTTTCCCATGTTTCCAGCATAGCCTGTATAATAAAAATGAACGACATGCCAGCTCCCCAAAAGTGAAGCCAAAACATTTCGATCGCCCCCTGGTTAGCAGATGAGAAATAAGCGTACTTGATGAGATGATTGATGAGATGAGAAATGGGTGTACTTTGAGTAAAAACTCAAAGTACACATCAAACAAATTTTTCTCAAAAATGGTTTCTGTCATTTTAAGTAGTTCTTATCATGCTGATGTTTAGTCAAGTGTTCATTTTTCTGACTTGTCTTTACTAGTAGGATTTAAGTTAGATACTAGATTGCAGCCATATTCACGATATTTTGACATCCTTTTTTGCACATTGTGAGGAAGTGGAGATGTGCTGTCCATCTTTATATACAGTACACTCATTGGTTTCAAATCTTTATACTAAGCTATGCTAAGCTAAGCGACTGCAGGACATACCTTCATATTTATTATACATACATGAGAGTGGTGTCAGTCTTCTCATCGAACTTTTTGCAAAAAAGCAAATAATTGTATTTTCCCAAAATGTGAAACTATTTCCTTAACTTTTTAATAAAATAAATATAATCTCCTTTCACATTTTACCCAAAATGTACAATACTTCATATAATATAGCATAGTATAGCATTAGGTGATGACACAAGCACCCCCATCATTTTAAAATCAAGTTTGAGGGGGACAATTATGGTAAAGTGTATAGTCAGAGTGCACCATTAGGAGAAATTAAATCTCCAGAGAATAGGTAGCCAAGGAAAAGCTACTGCATCCCACACCTCAATGTAAATTTTCAAATACATCTTCATTTCTTATGAAAGAGTTTTAGGCCAAATGTGTAAGGAAGCGTCATTGTAAAAGCTGCCCACCCCCTCGCTGCACTCAAACAAATCATTCACGACTGGAGAGAACACGGACCACTCACAGTAAAGTGTCTTTTTTTTTCCCTGACTGAAAGATGGATAAAAACACGTGGTGTCATGGGTGTCATAGTTCCCATGGCAACCCACTGCATTCATAGAGGTAAATGACAAGTGAGGAAATGCACATATGCAAATATACACACACACTTTCACATTAAAAAGTGCGCATACAATGTGCCACTATAAAATGGCCTTGCTCACAAACCGTTGAATTCACATAGCTGTGTGTCACCCCTCTCACAAGCTCACACAAAAACACACCTAATGTGAATATAGCCTGACTCAATTCTGTCTGAGGCAACTAACAATTCAGCGTGCAGAAGTAGAGGACAAAGAGCACTTAAAAGAAAATAAGCTCAAATAGACAAAATGGCACGACCTGATTAACAATTAGTAATCACTGACATTGTGATTGAAAGCTTGAAACTTAGATAAGAAGGCAGTATCATGAGTTGAGGCGCAGCAATTTCTTCCTCTTCTTCTCTTTTCTCTCATTATCATCATTATTACTGCCACTTGAATAAACCCTAAAAGTCCCCTAAAGCCATCCCCCATTGTACAATTTCAATAATGTGAAGCCATAAGTGGCATCGCCTTTAAAAGCTCATAAGAGGTGGACATTTTCCACAGATACAAGGTTTTATATAACAACAGCACCTGGTTGCTGCAAGGACATAGAAACACCCGCAGTATATTTCAGTGACTATATTAATATCTGTCTTTTACAGCCTCCCAAAGGGCATCTATATTATCTGCCCCATCACTTTAACTCACACTCTGCAGGTGTGCGGTTTTCAAATAGAATCTATTCCATGATGATTAATGCCTTTAGATATGCCTGTCTGGTCTTATACATGTGATGAAATAATTCAGGTAACATCATACATGATTAGAATGTAAAGACTGAAAAAAGTTGTCAAAGTCAAGGGCAACATGGGGGAAGGAAAGACACTTCAAGACTCTGTAAATAGAGCAAGTACACAGAGGTGGGCATGTGTAGCCTGCAAATAGTTAGACACACAACTGCTGCCATGCACATGCGCGCACAAACACACACACACACACACACACACACACACACACACACAGACATGCAGCATGCTTGTCCTCTCTTGGCTTTCTTTCTTTATACACTCCTTTCAACGCAGTATCCCTACATCCATTGCAGTAAGTATTGTGCCCAACATGTAGTGAGGCGTGATCAGGCCAGCCATTAGGGGGACAAATTTTCCAAATCGGGCCCCTCATTCACACCCACTCCATCACCACCACCCTTGGCTATTCTGCCGAGCTCCTCACCTTTGCCACGTTCATCTTCACCTGTCATACCTGGTGCGTCTTCACACTTTTTTTGGGTCAGAAATTCAGCCATTGCCTCTCTGCTGCTTTTCTTTCTTGTTCTCTCTGTAGCCTGGATTTTCTTTTTTTAGCCTCTAATTTGTGGTGAGGCATGTTGACTTAGCTAGTGGGTGCAGTTCACTTTACATTAGCGGCATGTGAGTGCTCTGCACATCTGACCCCGCTGTTACTGTGAAAATGATGCTGTAAGAAGTGAAGTAAACTGTTGTACCTGATCCCATTTAAG